TTACAGGTGTGAGCCACCAGTGGGTGTGATTTCTGAATCTAAGTGGCAGGCCAGGCCCACTCAAGATGCAGCCATCAGGTGAGGCCTGGTCTACCTCTGAATGGGTCAAAGGCTTCTGCTCTGACAGGTTAACTTCATAATCGTTAATCACAATGAAATAATAGAAACAACAAGAGCTCTAGCCAAAGGTTAAAAGTCTAGGGTACTCTAGCAGAGAGCAGCTCCTTCTCAAAGTTCAGAACCCTGCATACTCACCTTGGTTAGATTGTTTTGATATATGGTGTTCAGGCGGCTCACGTAGGCATCTCGCTTTTCCTTAATGACACTGCAATGAAACCTGAGTCAGTTCTTAGAAACAGGATTTTCCTCTTTCAGTTAGTAACAAGGACGTCTGTCCCTGAACACCCCTGAGCAGAGGATCACAGATTGCCAACAAGAACAGCAGTGAGTGAATGTCTCTGAAAACAGCCATCCCTCCCCCTGTCCATCTGCCTCCCCACATGTAGAACCCTTATTCCACTCAGTGGGGGATGCTCGGTCGGCTTCCTCTTTCTGCACAGGAAGGCAAGGAGAAATGCCTCTGCACAGTGCCTAGGATGTGGTGGCCACTTAATATGTGTTGAATAAATGAATTTGCTAAAACTTCTGGAAAATTTGATGGCTTCAAAAGATTTATGGCAGTTCCTTAAAAAGTTAAACACAGGATTGCCATATGACCCAGCAATTCCACTCCTAGGTAGAGACCCCCAAAAATTGGAAGCAGAGATTTTTAAATTTTTTTTTTTTTTGAGACAGAGTCTTGCTCTGTTACCTGGGCTAGAGTGCAGTGGCGTCATCATAACTCACTGCAACCTCAAACTCCTGGGCTCAGGCAATCTTTCTCCCGAGTAGCTGGGACTGACGTGCCAGCATGCCCGGCTAATTTTTTTTTTCTATTTTTAGTTGTTTGGCTAATTTCTTTCTATTTATAGTAGAGACAGGGTCTCGCTCTTGCTCAGGCTGGTCTTGAACCCCTGAGCTCAAAGGATCCTCTCGCCTCGGCCTCCCAGAGTGCTAGGATTACAGGTGTGAGTCACTGCACCTGGCCCAGAAGCAGAGAATTGAACAGATACTTGTATACCAGTGTTCATAGCGGCATTGTTCACAATAACCAAAAGGTAGAAACAACCCAAAAGTTCACTAATGAATGAATGGATAAAGAAAATGTGGTATATCCATGCGATGGAATAGTATCCTGCCTTAAAAAGGAATGACGTTATACGTGCAAAATGGATGAACCTTGAAAACATTACGCTAATTGAAATAAACCAGACACAAAGGAATAAATATTGTATAATTGCACTTATATGAAGTACCTAGAAGTACCTAGAACTGGCAAATTCATAGAGACAGAAAGTAGAATAGAGGTACCCAGGGGCTGGGGGGAGAGGGGAATGAAGAGTTATTATTTAATGGATAGAGCTTCTGATTGGAATTTCTGGAAATGAATAGTGGTGATAGTTGCAAACAATATAGTGGTAATGACTGCACAACAGTGTGAATGTACTTAATGCCACTCACTTGTATACTTAAAAACAGTAAAAATGGTAAATTTTATGTGATGTATATCTTAACCTCCATAATCCCCTCATCCACCCCCACAAACGTTTATGGCTCTTAGTTATGAGAGAAAAATATTCACATTTGTAATTGAACCCTCTGAGCATTAACACTTACCGCCAGTTGAATTTACCCTCACAACTTTGAAAACCGTAATCAACATGATCGTGCATGAATTCAGAGTGGACAGCCGTGTTCCACATTACCTGTGAAAAAAAGACCCAAAACAGTAGTATG